TTATAGAACGAAGCGTAAAAAACAACAATTTGTGTAAGAGCAAATTAAATATTGTAACTGTGAGATAAATTCGACATTGCCGCAACCGGACTGGATGGGAGACGGGGTGAAAAGGTCAGCCGGGTATCAGCCGCCTACTGGGATGATTGCATAAGCAAAGTGGGAGCCGGAAAGACAGAAACTCGAAAGATGTAAACAATATGCAAAACACAAGGAAGGCGTGCAGGCCAGACCCTGGAAAATCCAGGAATGCATATCACGGATACGCAGTGGAGTTCGCTACATGACTTTGCATACTGAAGAGCAGTGAAAACACAGGGCGGATGCTGGAGAACAAGGTCAACCTACATCAATTTAACATCAATGTCCATAAATCCCGGCTGGGAACTCGAATTTGGAGTTTAGTATCTGCTCTGCATAAATGTTCAATAAATGTCGCAAAATAAATATTTAATAAACATAAGCGAGAGGCAATATGGAAAGCAAACGGCACGGCCAAATATTGGGATAAAATCCGGGGCAGGAGAGCCACCCTCGTACTTTCCAGCTAGATTTAAGTCTCAATTGCGACATAAATTTGCATTTGATGGGGAACGGGGAATTAGGGGCGAGTGCTCAGAGTTCTCTGATGGGGCTTCCACCGTTTATTGATCGACCGGTTGACATTGCATCAATATCTGGCGAAAGTTAACAAGTATATGATGCCGAACTGCACGATTTAAAAGCTTTTCCCTGCTTTCCTCATCACTTGTTTGTCTTTCGCTTTCTGTTTGTTGTCGCGTCTCGTCTCGGGAGATTTTTCTTCCCCAAAGACGGGGGTTCAGTTCCAACGGTCGGTAGATTGTTTTGGAAAGAATGTTTCAACCGAACATCAATTATTTACGTTATTAATATCCAATTAATATTTGATATTCTGAGCAAGTTTTCTATTCAATTAATTAAATGTCCGCCCCTCCCCGTCCGGGCAACACATTTTTATGTCACGTCAGCGAACTGCAGTCCGCTGCACCCCTCCGCAGCCGCCTATGCACACTCATTAACACAACAATAAAGTACAACCGCCCCACGCCCACCAGCCCTCGTGAGGGGGCGTGGACAATTAATGTGACTGACACACATGCAGATTTTGCCGCCGTTCGCGTTGTCATATTTGATTTACAGTTGCAATTTACGCACTTTCCGCAGGAGGAGGCCAGGATCAGGACTCGGGAGGCGCTCTGGGTGGGGCTGGCCGACAGCTGTCCACGTCAGCATCCGGCTTCTGTTTGATGTTGTTAATTGATTTTCAAAGTCAACTGGCGTCCTCCAGTGGCGGGAATGGGGGAAGGGGGGACGGGCAAGCATGGGGTCCTGCGGGAGGAGCAGGCCTGCTTTCGCTTTCGCCACGCTCGCAGATTAGCAGGGCAGTGTAAAATGCATCTCCATTGAGGCGCAAGCGACATAAAACCAATTCCCAATCCGCATTCGCTGGACAATTTACAGACTGTGGACCCGACAGTATCCCCCCCCCCCCCCCCCCACTCGCCTCCCCTGATGTGCATTGTAAGTGCAGTGAGGCGCATTTGCAGCTGCAATTGCCGAGTGGATTTCGGAGTTGTTCCCGCAGTGGCTGTGGCAGGATCCGCAGGACCAGGGGCTCGTGTTTGTTTTATGTGTGGCAATTGTCCAGCGCCCCATCGACATGCAACTGTATCTGTTGTCTGCCTGGCATGCGGTTCAATCAAAGCGATTTTCAATGTCCACAAAATTTCGCAAAAGGACATTTTGGTAATTTCAACGATGCACCCTCCCAAGTCAGGAGCGGACCTCACTCGGTAGAGGTTTTCGAGGACCGTTGAAGTGGGGCCGTACTTATAAAACGGTTTTACATTCTTTACATTCCGACCTTAAAATATACTCCCTCAAATCGTAAAAGTCTCGCCAACATAAATTATGTAATATATTTGAATATTATTTGAATCCATAAGTATAAGCATATCCGCTTGCCTCTTCGTTAATTAATACACCAGCTAGTTTTTAAACTAAAGTTAACTTTCCAACATTTTTTTGAAAACTTTAATATAATTAATCGCGAATGCTACCCAATGCAATAAAATATAAATCTTAAATCTTAATTCGGTCAAAATAAGGTGTGTTGCTTCTAATCTTTTGTTCTTTTAACTGAACTTAATAATTATACACATCACACATACTCAAATCAAATTAAAGAGTGTTCTTCCTATTTTCCTTGCAAGTAATATTCACCATTCTAAGCTCCCCTTAAACTTTTTGTGCGCTTTTTCTTAAATACCAATACTGGCAGGGTTAGTCGCCCAACAACCTCGAAACGAAAAATCCGCCACTGGTCGGCAATCCGGCGCTTGTTGTTGGTAATGAGTTTGGTTTTACTGTTTAAATTTAAACGTGTTCGCGGGTGGAGGAGCGGTTAAACGGGCTCGCCAGCGGTTGGCTACAGTTCTAAAGTGTATTTGCATTTAACGCTAAATGCATTCTGGCAGGGGCGTAGAGGGGTGGGAAAAGGGAAGGGTTCCTGCCTGCGGGAGGGAAAACATGACAGTTGCATTAATTTTGATTGCGTAAATATTTTAAGTGTGCGGATTGCGAGAGCCCTCTCAAAAATGTTTGCCCTGGGCCCACTGCCTGGTTAGAGGATTGTGTGGACTGGTGCTGGGAAATGGAACGCCACGATTAAGTGATTGCAATTGAGATGAGCTGATTGTAAAATCTGGGTGAGCACAACTTACTCCTCCGGCGAGGGCAATGCATATTTAAAGTTTGTTGAAGGACTTGCAGCTAATGGCGAACCTCCGATGCTGCTGCTCAGTTCGATGAACTCCTGAATGGAGTGGAACTCGAGCATGGGCAACTTTTCTAATTAACCCAACAACAACAACAGCTACCCCACCCCCACTTTCATCTGAGTTCTGCGCCCTCCAGGTTTCCCATTCCCAGTGGTTGCTAATTTCAGACGCCAATAAAATGATTCAGGCCACAAATGTTTCAGGGCAAAAAATGCTACGAAATTTATGAGCACGTAGCTGACATAAAACTTTCGGATGAGCATAGTGGAGTCGTACCCCCGTACTCATCCCTCCCTGCCGCATGACGTGATAATTTACTTAACAGGCCCTATCCTGCTGACACGCTCCAGAGACAATTTACAAGATGCAAACATCAAATTTTATGATGTCTAGGCCATAATTAATCGAGATTTGTCGGGGAGCTGACTGAGGCTGAAGGCCCATAAAACTTAAGGAACTTCTTAATGAATATTAACTCAACTTCACTGTTATGAATTCTTGCTGTTTTCTTCGGCTGCCTGATCCGCACCCTTCTCAACTGTTTTTTAAACGCTTACTCTATTTACTTGCCACTTTTCCCCGTTTATTTGCCCTCACCACACCCGTCTGACCTTAGCAGCTCAACTGCAATTAAACCTTAACCACATTATCTCCAGCTCCGCTTCTTCCCAACAGCCCCATTTCAAGTTTTTCGCTTTCGGTCGACCAATACCGCAAAGTCTGCGGCATGTGGGGAATTTTCCCATAAGACTGCAATTTTGTCCGGCGTATTATTTAAAGGAGCATCAGCATTTGGCTGAACTTTGGTGCAGCAAGGCCCTGAAATACACTTTCTTTGAGGGATACATACCTTTTGTTATCACAATGGATGGATTATTATAAATAGAATGGACTTATTTGGGGTTTATTATTGAAAAAATAAAATATTATTTAATGGTAGAAAACTAAAAAAATAAATTATAATACATGTTATATTGTTAAACGTAAATGAAACTAAATTTAATGTGTTATCAATAAATTTGACGTCTAAACCTACAGTACCAATTTGGTCAAATGTTGGACTCGTTTCTTGTACAGTTCTTGTACAATTTCATGATTGGATGAGATTCATAGTAGTTTATATGTACAAAATATGTTATTGTGAACTCTTGATATGCAACTTAATTGAAAGGGTATTTAAGGTTCATCAAAGCTTAAAATGTTGTATGTTTTCTCTCCATTGGCTAGACATTATCTGAATTGGGAGAGAATGAGCGTTCTAAGGGAACAAAGAGCGGAGCTGTCGACTGCTTTGCGGTGATAGCTGAAAATTAATTAAATGTCGCGGCGAATGAAATTAAAATAAAAATGTCGAAAGCTGCTTAGGGAGTGCTTAAACAAAATTATAGCTTAGAACGGAAGGCCTTTCTTTTCAAATGGCATTAAAAAGGGAACAAGTCAAATGATTACTTTTTCCAAGAACTGTCTGAAGAACTCTTCGTGTTGATAACTCTTCCGTTTTCGGGTTTCTTGGACGTTCTTTTGGATTTTTCCGGAAATCTACAACACTGTGATCATATATACAAAAGTCTGATCACAACATTCATCACAACGCTCTCATTTAATTAAGCTGTATAGCTAAATCGGAAAAAAAGAAAGTTCAAAATATATATTTATTTTGCCGAGGGTATGCGATCGTCATGACATGTTTTTCTCGATCTAAGGTGTTTTTGTGTGATACAATGACAAAATAAAGGACTTGTGTGGGAAAGAAAGGGCCTTGCCTTGGCGATGAAGCCTTTGCAGCAGAAAAGAATGAACTTCCGCCCTAAAAACTTTAATCCATTTCCGACCTAGCTCAGTTAAGAGGCGAGAAATTAATTAGTAGTTTACAGAGTTGCGATACCAGGCTTGCCTTGCCAGGATATCTTTAGCTTCCATCTGTTTGGTTTCGTTTGTGCCTTTCCTTATTTTGCCTTCGCCTTTTATTTTCTGCGATTTATTGGCCAATTCGTATACTTTTTCTGGGAGATTTTTACTATTTTCTGGTAGCCTTTTCGAAGGGGTAGCTCTGTTGGCCAAGATTTATGAAAAGTTTTCTTTACTTGAAGGTTGTAATTAGCGGTATTTGTATCAAAACATACACTACGCGAAGTTTTTACAGACATACAATACTACCCCAACTAAAATTCCTAACCAAATTTCTCCCTTCTGTTGCAGGTCTCAAGGATCCAAGCGTGGACAGGCACACGAGTAAAGGTGAGTCTCCGCACAGCACTGTGTTCCGATCAAAAATTAATTAAGAAGCCACTGGAGATGTAAATAGTCCGTAATGGTTGCAACCGAAATTTGTTCTGCTCAGTCAAAGCGACCGAGACAAAGGTCCACCCACACACTGCTCCACCCCGCTCGCCGCAATAACTATAAATTCCCAGGCCCAGGGCAACCACAAGACATCACCGAGCCCCTCAAAACATAAACCAAGCGGCTCTTTAAAACGCAATCAAGCTGAAAATTAATTAAAATTTCAAGCGGGATATGAAATTAATGCGCAGTCGAGGGGGAACCACGGCGCTTCTGCTTCCTCGTAGACAAACGGGTTGTGCAAGGTAAATCCAGGGTTTAAATTAAAACACACTTGTTACTGTCTTAGACGCTGCCGTCTCCGTTGGAAGTCGTCGTCTCGATTTCATTAAAAATGTTTTTATGCGCGCATTATCCTTTCGCTTTCCCTTTGACTCCTTCCAGGGCGCAATTTAATTTGGCTATGAAACGCTTGCCGCCTCCTTGACACTTTCACTTTCATTTCCCTCCCCTTCCGAGCCACCTTTCACCTTCGCTACCCCTTCCTCAACCCCTTCCACTCGAGGCAATGGCTTGTTTCAAGCAGCTTAAGCTTGTCGTTGACATTCGCCGTGCTGTTGTCAGTGCTGTAAAGGCGCTCATAATTTCACGCTAAGCGAGCACACACGCGTCCTTCTGGGTCCTGAGTCCTGCTCTTGGCTTCCACCGGAGCGTTTCCCACCTCAGTTTTCCGCAGCACTTGGCTTTCCACGAATCACATTTTCGGAGCGGAGTGCCGAGGATATCACTGAAATGCAATAAAGTTGAGTGCCGATTCGCAGCGAGCTCCATTCGAGTCTCTACTTTTCTTCGTGTCTCGATCCAAGGAGGTTGGCTCTCCCATCCCAACACCGAAAAATGATTTACAGAATGTCTTCTGTGAGAAGTCAATCGATACATATATGGAAAAAGTTCTGGCTGAGCTCTATCCACCATTCGGTCATCCGATGGCTGTTGTCTTTATTACATTCTGATGAATGTTGCGATTTGACTTCAGCCCAAAAAGAAATACTCATTGCATGCTCGGGGGCCATTGAATGGATTCTTTTTGGGGTATTCATATGCTTTTAACAGAATTAGTCTAGCCGGCTAATGTGATAAATGGACTCGGCTGGCAGGGTTTGGAGTCTGGTGAACCCTTCATAATTACACTTGGAGCGCATGATGAGCTGCAAGTCATTCCGTAGGCAGAAAAACCATCTTTCCGGCTTCGCCCTCCCAGCTCCTCCGCCCCAAGAAGCCCACTTTAATCTCATAAATCATGGGCTGGAAGAAGCCGCGCAACCAAGGGCAACCGCACATATCATAACATTTAGCATATTTCACTTAGGCAAACATTTAATCCGACATCTTGTCTGCCCCCTGTGCTCCACCTGCGAATAGAGCTCGTTCGGAATGCAAACGCGGGGCTACATTTTCATTTCCGCTGGCGTTTTTATTTTTATTCCTTGCCGCACGTTATCAAATAATGAATATCAAATGTAATGCTTATCATTTATTTGCCAAACCGAATCCGAACTGGGAGCTGTGGTCGCCGGGGAGCTGCTCCTCCCCGCCAGGTGGCAACATATTATAATATTTACTTAATTTTCATTTCTAATTCGGTCTCCCTTCCGTGGGCATTTTTTCATGAGGCACATGATATGGCTTTCCGGGACGAGGACCTTGGCATTGGCAGGCGGGGCCGGGGAAAAATAGGAAAAACCTGCATAATAAGCAAGTCTAGCAGCAAAACTTTGGTGTTTGGGGGCCCAAAGTCAAGTGATTGGGTGGGCCGCTGAGGGGTGTTGATTCTTGCAGGTGGCTTAAGCTGCGTCTAAAGCGATAAGGCAAAGTATTTGAATTTTTAATATAGCGAAATGCGGATCTCAGCGAACAAGGGACCCCACCCCGATTTATCCCAGACGTGGACAAGAAGGCGCTGTGGCGAATCGCAGATACTCTGCGCGGGCGGATTTCCCCTCCTTGGCTCCCGGTTATTTAACAGTGCTGATGTATTCAAATACGATTCGTGGCCGCCATTTTCCTGTCACTGGCTGTGAAAATTCGCAGCTTTTCCTCTCCCCGGCTTTTCTGGCTAATCTTTTGGTCAGCGAGCACCCATCCCGCCCTCCCCTCGGAGGTCTGCTGTCCATTCGCTTTTTTGAAATTCCAATTTGAATGCTTGTGGCTTTCTCCGGGCTGTTAGTGGACGGTTTGGCTAAGGACGTCTCCCGCAGCAGCCAATATTATATTATTCAAGCCATCGCAGTTGGCTGCCTCCCTCCGCAGAACCGCCGCTCGTTCGCTGTTTTTGAAAATCGTAATTAGAATTGGTAATGTATTCAAATTGACTTTCATTTCCGTTTGTTCGTCGGTCGCTTCGTTTGTTTTACTTTTGGCATTCTTCATCAGGATTTTGCGCTTTTCGGCGAGTCGTCGCGTCGCCTTTCCCGGAGAGAAGAGGGCCATTCCGCCGTGATTACAGCCATCGATTCGCAACCCAATCGCTGGGAAAAAGTGATCAACCGGCAGCCAGGGGCCAGACAAAGGCACTTTCGATTATCGGGGCAGGCTGATTCTCCGGCCATATTTCAAAATCTCCGAACGTGAAACTTTTCCCTCGCAGACACTGGCGGAAAAGCAAAGAAACTGAAACTTTTCGCTGGCAGGCGGAACGCAGTAAAACCGTAAAGAATTCAACTAATAAAAATCAGGCATTCAAGTGCGAAAAAATCGCGAAAAGCATCATCAAATAATGTGCCACTCAAACCGATTCGCCGCCCTCCGCCGCCCGCCCACCGAATCGCAGTTTGGATTCAACCAAAGACAAATAGAAAAGCAGGAAAGTAAAAGGCAAGTTGCGAACAAAATAAAACTATGCTGGCAGCAGGGAGTGAAAAGTTTTTCCCGAGATGTCAGCGTGAGTCAGTGGGCCCCATCCAAGATCCTCCGGATGGGAGACCCCGGGAAAGCCCCGGAAAACCTCGTGGCACGCGGGCATCTCTGGCTGCGAACAGGGCCATACGTCATCGGGAAAAACTTCGATGGTTTGGCCAGGAGCGCGTGTCTCTCCATTTTCCTGGCGGATGCGAATGGCCACATATTTTCGCTGCCACGGAGCGTGCGAGGTATTTTCCCCATGTGCGGATGTGGCTGCCGCAGTGTCTGCGCGGCGGAAAAGCAATTTTCCTTTGTGTCGTGCCCAGGTTTCCAGTTGGCATTGTCTTCCGCTCGCCGCACTGAGCTGGCAAATTTGTTGCAACCGAAATAAACACTTTATTAAATGCATTGGAATAAGCGCTGCACTCGAAGGAGTTGAGGTCCTGCGACCCCCCGCATGTGGCGGAGGATAAACTTTGAGCCAAGTGAATTTGGTGCTAAGCTCGAGTAAGAGATTCGATGCCGGCAAAAAGTGGATTGCTAATGCACTCGGAGGGCTCAGGGAGCTCAGGCGGGCTAAGTGGGGTAAGTGAAATGAAAAGGGATGGAAACCCCTCCGAAGACCCAAAAAGTCGCCACACAAATATCTCCGCCGAACAGGCAAAGGCCTTCACAGGTTATTACTTATTTATTTTCTGTTTTCTTTGCATTCCGCTTTTCATTTGCCCCAGCTCACGACCCACCGCTCCGATAATCGAAGGCAAGAATCAAATTATGCTAGAATTGAGATTGATTTTTTATTCAATTTTAATGCGACAAATGCAGGCAGATAAACAGACGACAGCTCCGAGGACACACATGGCCCGGAGCCCCTGGCCCCAAACAGGACCCGTCCTCTGCGAACACGTGGCCTGGGTGGGCGGCTCAGGGGATCCTGGGGGCGGGGAATGGGAAATTATAACGGCGATGGCGCACAAGGGAGTCGCACTGGATTAGGTCGTCCTCCGGGCCAGGTCCTTATGGAGAACTTTTTGAATATTACAGCATAAATCGATTAGCTTCTACCAGAGCGTCGGTGCTCGTGTGTGGTGTCTGTGTTGTCACTGATTGACACTTGAAGCGGTTTTTTGCTTGCTCGCTGGCTGTTTGCTCATGCTGCTCAAACTCCGGCTCCCAGGCCATTGATATGCGTCCTGAGCACTCGACTTCATCTAATAAGCACCCGAACATAACTCCACTCCCGGGGAGCCCATCCTAGTACACAGCCCATCGTGAGCTGGGCAAATTGGCTGCCGGGCCCTTTCAACGGGATGCGACCTCGATTTGCAGCATAAATTGGAAGGAAATTAAAGATCGAGTGGAAGGAAATGAGCCCTCTTTGAGCTGCAGCGGAAATTGTTATGTGATAATTGGGTATTGCGTTTCTATCGATGGCACCGGGACTCGGCCGCAAAGTGGGTCAAAGGTGGCCCAACTATGGGAATCGAAAGCCTTTGGCTCGGTGTTTGTCCAGGGGATTATCGCGTTTCCTGTTTGGGCGCAAAATTACATTTCAATTTGGATCACTTCACATCATCAACGCACCGGGAACCAGTCAACAAAATCTGCTGAGCAAATACCCAAGGCCCTAACCTCCGAACACACTGCAATTAGCGCTGGCACACACGAGCGCAGGGGTAAATATGACAGTTTTGCAGGGGCCTTGGTCAGGGGTGGATTCGAGCGGAGCATAAGGTATAATTTAATAGAAATCAAAGGCAAATCGCGCATCGAATCGAAACTCGGGAGTAAACGTCGATTTCAGGCAGCCAAAGGGTTGGGAATGGGTGATACGGCGATGAGTTATGGGGCAGACGAAATCAATTGTCTTGGCAACAGACGCAGCCATCCCATTGTGCAATATTCCAACGCTTTAAAGCGAAAGAATTTCGCAGTTCTGCCCTGCCTTCCTTTGTGTTCCAATTAAAAGGGTTTGCGCCGAAGGATTCACTCCATTGTCGGTTGGCTTAGGGGATATTTTCTTTTGCAGTGGCTCGGCCATCCATCCATCCATC